AAAAAATTGCTCAAACTGCAAATAGTGATTATCAAAATAGTTGGTAATTAATTTAAGATTTCATAGTTGCTAAATCATTGCACCTCTACTTTATATCATGTAAAAATGTCCTTTGTACTGGCAAACATGTACTTTAAACATTTTACAATTTGGCTTAATCATCACAATCAAGAAGACAACATTCCTCTCTTTGCACATAAACTTAGAAATATAGTCCAACATGGATTACAGCATCTCCTCTTCTTTTAGCCAAAAATGGTAAAGTGCATAAGAATCTTTTTTCGGTTATACATCAGAACTGAACAGGACCACTAAACTGCTGGGAACCTGCCAAAAGTGGTGATGCTGGGAGGCTCTGACTGTGAAGAATCTGATGAACGTGCTCAGGTGCATCAACATTCTGTCGCCCCGGGAGAAGGGTTGGACTTTATTACAGCTCTGATAAATTATAGCAAATAACCCCAGGTAACTGAGCCAACGCCAAAGCAGTGGAGCATGCCAAAAGAAGCAGGGCTGCTCACGGCCAGATTAACCTGTTAGTTGACCCAAGGGCAAAAATGAGCCACAACATCCTGCTCTACAGTTGCTTCAATTTGATTAAAAGCTTATATATTAGCTTTTAAACAGGGAAAATGACGACTTAAATATTATTTTTTTCAAAAAAGGTATTGATTTTGACGCTCCTCTACAAGACAAAGGCTGTGAAGACTAGGTATAAATACAGGACTCATCGTTTTTGAAGAAGCTCCCAGACTGTCAGCGGCAGGCTGGTGGCTGGGCTTCAACACTGCTGTGCCCCCTAATTACCGAACCCACTTCCTCAAATTAACGCCATTAAATTATTGTGATTATTCAATTGGTCTTTGTTCCCTCCATACGTCCTTTCTCATTTGGTTTTAATGCAATAATACATGTTGTTTAAACTGATGGTCTGCTTTGAGACTGTGCACACATCCTGCTGTGTAACACAGTACAGAATAAACAGTGAAACAGTGGAAAACTCAAGTTCCTAAGCAGGCTGGGACACTGAGGCTCAAGCGCTGGAGTTAAAAGTCTTCTACTTAATGATCGTACAAATGTCAAACTTTACTTGTTCAATAGTTCGAAATCATTACATTATTAACACAGCATTTTAATGTCATAGCTGGTCAGAGTAAAGTTAACACTAACTGCTTTTGGGGCGGTTTAATGGGATGTTAAACACAAACTACAAGCAGTGGAAGGAATCAAAATACTTTACTCACAGATTGTGGTTGTACACAACCTTGACATACTTTAATCATCCATTTCTTATAAGAATTTATACATCTAATCTACTAAATTTCTAAAGAAGATACTGCACTTTTACCACACTACACCTATCTGATAAATGAAAGATATGTTTACCCCTTCAAAATAAAGCTGCACCTGATTGGGAGGCCCCTCGTCACACTTTAACGATGTCAGTTGCGAGATATCAGGAGATTTACAATTGAAAATGGCCCAAAAATGGAAGGATTACCCAAAACACAAAGAACCGCCGAAAAATGGACACAGGTTTGTGTAGCAGATGTTTGTTTTTGCTACCGTTTCTGCCATCTCAAGACCCTCCCAGCTTTATGTCATGACCTCTTGGAGACTTTCAACCCCTAGCTTGGAAAGTGCTTGACTAAACTGAGTAAATGAAGGAGTGATAACAAGCTGCACCCTCGAGCAACAAAGTGTGGCTTACACACCGATCATCATTCACTGATAGATGGTGGTTTTTTGATCTCCTGGGGTAAACTGCAGTGTTGCAGCAGTAATTTGCATATCGCAAAACACATATAATTTATACTGAGCTAAATGAGGTAGGTAAGAATAAAAACTACTTCAAACATATACACATGTGCATTGTGTTAGATAAAAATAAGACATGATAGAAGTCTCACATGAGGCACACAGGCCACTTTGCCTTGATTCTTGAGAGTAGTGCATTTGCTGATAATCCTTGCAGGACTTTTAGTTTTAATACAAGACAGGATCTGAGTACTTCTTCCATCACTGAGTAAATGTACTCAGTTACTTTCCACCACTGGTTTATGTCTTGATTTTGGACCATGTAGTTCACTATAGTTTGCATTTTCAACACAAAGTCCTGCTGTTCTTGATTCCAACACGTTTCCTTCTGTTAAATGGTGCACACATATTATTATTTATTCTTGCACACAGAAATCAATCAAAAGTGTTGCTGCTGATCCCAGCAGCTCCAGAATGAGGACAGTAGCTCCACTATGACCAGCATAGGGTCCAGCTTTAACCCGGCGTGGTGCCTCCATGGACCAGTGAGCCTTCGGACGTTAACCCCGCAAAGGAGCCGCCTTCCCTGACCCTAAACCCGGTCTTCCAGCTCGGCTAGCCCGGCTACAGCCTGGCTAGATGTGTCCTACTCTTAGCCATCCTCATTCGTGATTCTAACCAGGGAGAACGTGCAAATGTCTACACGAAACCAGAACGTGTCGCCAAAGACGCCCCGCTGAAGGGAAAAAAAATCAGCCTAAAAACAAGCGGCCGTATCGGAGCTAACCTGCAGCAGCCCGGACCGCTCCGACAACTTTGTTCGATATATCGTGTGTACAAAGTAAAGTTTCCCCCCCAGACATGCCCACGTTAGCGGATAGCATTTCCTCCATTACATAACCAAACGTGTCGTTGCGTGTTTTCCCCCTCCCGGACGCTTTCCTGGTTGCAACAGAGCGACCCCGGCCGTCCCCGTAACCCTCTAGCGGCGCGGACCGCACCGATGCCCGGCGAGCGTCGCTAGGAGACTCCGCAGAGCAACCATGTTTCTCGGCAACCGGCCACCGTTGTCAAAAAAACACCACCGTACTCGGCCGTTAACACCACCACACGTAAGTAACACCCTTCAACGCTTCGGTATGAGGCAGAAAGGTGGATGTTTTTGTAGGGGGGACGGTGCTAAAACGGCGGAGGCTCGTCGGTAACTTGAAAGACACAGCGGGCCTCCGGCTGCTGCAGCCCGGCATTTTCTCCGGCGAAGAAAGCCTTTGTATTGAGCCACGGCGCGGCGCTCCGAGCCTCGGCTTGTTTTCGCACAAATGGAGCCACAAGACGGAGACGGTGGACGAGTTTAAACTCACCTGAACGTGACGCGAAGCCAGCCGCTTACGGTGTAGCCACAGCCGGGTCGGTTTGAGGTGTTCGGAGAGCCGTCGTGGAGGTTCTTCGGTGTCCGTCAGCAGCTCCCGCTCCGCCCGAAGCTCTCACCGCCGAGTCCCCCTCCGCTCCGACTGCCGGGCGGACAAGCTTCCTTAAACCCAGAGTCCAACCAAGCGTGGACCCATTCAAATATGGCACCCGGAAAATATTCATGTTTGCATTTTCTATTTCATTTTGCACCTTAACACCACAAAAAAAAGAACACCCAGTGATGTTACTAATTTAGCTTTATTAAAGTTAATAAAGTAATCAAGTTCATAGGGAAGAACTAAAGTGAGGTTTAAAATAACAAGAATAAAATCGTAAACCATCACAGTGTGTTTTCTTATAGAAATGAATGATTCCTGGTGAATTCAAGTTATTAGAAAGTTTAATCTCCTTAGACAACTCCCAGTTTATGATATCAGCTGTAATGCAGCTTAAAAGGAAGTGAACCATGCAATCTTTAGCAGCACATTTTCACATTTGTGTCATACTTTCTACTATAATATCTGTATTATCCTTCTAAAACACTGTGTCTCCACCAGTGCATATATAATAAACTTGTGGTCATTCTTTTATGATTGTGTCTGTGTATTGATGTATAAAGGGGAAGACACTGCATAAAAAGTGTATTTAGTGATGTGCCTGCAGGTGTAACTAAAATGTATTATTTTGCTATTGTTTTTTTCTGCTGATTGTTTTCTTCATGATTTGATTCACAGTTTTGTCTATAGAATGTCAGCAAATAGTGAACATTAGACACATGTATACATCTTTAAAAATCATATATTGTGAAATTGTAGCATATTTCAATTGAATCCCAACAATATATTTGTTAAAATATTCTTTAAAATCCATAAAAGACAAAAAACATTCAATGCATATTTGTGGTCTGCAGTCCCAGCTGCTCAATCAAGACAAATATTGATTGACTAAATTGATATTAGTACTTTATGCAAACAAATTTGAAAACTAAACACCTTTCCTAATCTAGGATGCATGCCAATGAGGTTAATTTTACTTAATTTTTTTTTTTAGGAAATTTGCTCTGCGTAATTGTAAAGAGGTGTTGTTGCAGATTGTGCACTGTTGACATTTAGCAACAGAACCAAAATCAGCTCAGATCTACCAAAACAGGGACTTAAAACTGTGTTAAAAACCATAATGTTATTGTCAGACATTCACAAAGAAGCTCTTTTCAACAGTGGACTATGACCTAGAGAAGCCACTAGTGATGCCAACCGTTCTCAATACCAAAGAAAATGGTGTCTGTGCTGAAAAATTGCACATGTAGTCGTTAAACATTAGCTGCTTACATTAGCTGGATGTAAATTCAAATCTGATCAGTTCCTATAAAGTTTAGATTCTTTCCTTGAGACACCACTAGAACCTGAGGACTCGTCTTTTGCACATGATAGCTTTTAGGATCATTGATAGAGTCCCCTTAAAGGAACATAAAGGACAATGCAACAATTTAAAAGGTCAAATAAAGCTCATCTTCATGGCACGTGCAATATAGGCTTATAAAAGTGATCCTACCACTCCTGCTGACGATCATCACTTCCTTCAGGCCTACGGAGTTCACGGTGCACATGATCTTAGTACAGCAGTGCTAATGTAACATATTGTTTCAGGTGACACAGTTTGACTTTACTTCCCGCTTTGTTCTTCTGATTTCAGAAAGCACCACTGCTTCATTAATCCATCAAAGTGTCTGGCCGTGTGCCTTGTGTGAATAAGCACTCTGTACTGTTTGTCCTTGAGTTGGCAAAGTCTGAAACCTAAAGATATTCACCATAAATGATGATGGCAATAAATCCTCTCATTTGAGAGGCTTAAACTTGAAAATGGTCGCCATTTGTTTTACTACATTTGAAAGATGAAATTACTAACCCCTTATCAAAAGCGTTGATTATGTTTCTGCCAATCAACTATTCATTTCACTTCTATCGGGTTTCTTTTGTCTGTCTTTGTGACGCATCGTCTGTGGCTGCCTGTCCATATTGTAAATCTATCGTAATATTTGGCTCAGTGTAACTGCTAGTTCAATTTGAGCTCCTCCTCATTTTAATAAAGATGTAAGAAATGATGACTTTGTTATCTCCTCCAATGAAACTGTAATCGCATGCTTGATCTAATATACTGTGCAATGCTGGTAGCCGGAGGCTTGTTCGTGTGGCTCACAATCAATGGGGGTCTTTGCTGCACCTAGGGTGATAAAAATTGCCTGGCATCGTATTACATTTAATAACATTTACATGCAAAGTGTTCATAATATTTCTTTGGTAAACATCAGTGAATGAAATGCAAATCACTTATTGCTAATGCAAATGCAAACAAATGCAAGAAATGACACTTCCCTGCGTAGCTTTATTAATGTTGATGAGCGTATCGGTTATTAAAACAGTAGACTTGATTAGTAAAAATCAATTTAAGTATCAGAGTTCCATCTCTCGGTATTCATTTTACATGTTAAATGATCCATACTGTGTGCTGGTGATATTCCACACAATAAGAATTTAGCTTATAAGTCTTCAGTCTGCCTCAGTTCATTGTTGACATTTTACATTATTTTTCCAAAATGGAGTTAACCTTTTTACTCTTCAACATCCTTGCTTTCTCAACACTTTGCTCCCCATCCCCATCTTAGGTTTTGACTCGTATCTGAGCCTATGTGTAAGTAAACAGACCCAAAAGATAAGCGTGGTTCAAAATAAGATAGTCACTGTTACATCCCAACCTC